CTTGTGGGGGGAGCGGGAGAAGGACGAGGCGGAGGAGGAGGGAGAGAAAGCGCTCCTCGTGGTTTGAGTCGTTTGGGGTTTCTCGTCCTGGTGTGAGTCGTTCGGGCCCTTCTTCCTGGTGTGAGTCGTTCGGGCTCTTCGTGGTGTGAGTCGTTCGGGCTCTTCGTCCTGGTGTGAGTCGTTCGGGCTTCTCGTGGTGTGAGTTGTTCGGGCCCCTCATCCTGGTGTGAGTCGTTCGGGCCCCTCCTCCTGGTGTGACTCGTTCGGGCTCCTCGTGGTGTGAGTCGTTCGGGGCCCGCGTCGTGGTGTGAGTCGGGCTCCTCGTGGCGTTCGGGCGCCTCGTCCTGGTGTGAGTCGTTCGGGCCCCTCCTTGTGGTGTGAGTCGTTCGGGCTCTTCGTGGTGTGAGTCGTTCGGGCCCCTCGTCCTGGTGTGAGTCGTTCGGGCTCCTCGTGGGGCCTCTTGGGGGCCTCTTGGAGCCTCTTGGGGCCTCTTGGGGGCCTCTTGGGGGCCTCTTGGGGGCCTTGGGGGCCTCTTGGGGGCCTCTTGGGGGCCTCTTGGGGGCCTCTTGGGGCCTCTGGGGGGCCTCTGGGGGGCCTCTTGGAGGCCTCTTGGGAGCCTCCTGGGGGCCTCTTGGGGCCATCTTGGGGCCTCTTGCGACCTCCTCAGAAGCGCAAATGAGAGCTGCCCCCCGAGAAGGACAAAATGAGCCCAAAACCTTCGTAAAATCAATGATTTTGCTAGGAAGGACGATGAGCGCTGCCCCCTCAGAAGCCCAAAATGGGCCCAAAACCCTAGTAAAATCAATGTTTTTAGCTTCACAGAAGAGCAAAGGGGCCTATCTCCGTTCCCCCGTCGGGGCCAGAATCCTAGTGAGGGTTGTCGTTTTTTAGCCCTCCCAGGAGTCGAAATGGTCGTTTTTTGACGGTCCCGGGCCCCGGCGAGGGCCCCCAGGGCTTGAAATTTGCGAAAAACCTTTGCTCTGATTTCTTCAAAACGTTGGATCTCTGGGGCCCCGTGGCAACGGCAGGAGTGCCCCTTGTGGGAGTGACCCTTCGTGCGAGCCCACGGGGCTCTCCCCAGCACGGGCTTGCTCGCTTGCATCGGGCCCTCCGGCGGCCCCCGGAAGCTGCGCACCGACGGTCGCTGCTGCCGCGGGTCCTTCCTGCGTGTGCAGCGGGGGCCTGTGCCAAGAAGCACCCGGCTCGCCTCCAGGGTGCCCTGGGCTTCTTCGGTTTCGATGGCTTCGCGATGGCAGGCGCGACGCTCCCACGCCAAAGCTCGGGGGACGTCCCGGGGTCTCTCGGGGCTGGGTTTCTTTGGGGAGGTCTCTCGTGGTCGGGCCCCTGCCGTGGCCGCTGTGCTCCCTCTCCTGCTCTCCCGCGCCCGCTCCCCCGAGCAGACTCCCGCGCCCTCCACACAGACGTCCTGAGGCCCAGAGGCCGTTTCGCCAGCGCCGGCGGCCCAGAGGCCGTCTCCGGATTCCCCAGGGCTGTTCAAGTCCAGCCCTGCGCGCAGAAGCGGCCCCGCGGAAGGGGTCTGAGCCCCGCATCGTCTGTGTTGCCAGGGGGTGCTGACGCGGCACATGTCTTTTCTCCACGCACGCGCACCGCACATCTTCATTATTACAAGGACGAGGGCGGGGGGCGGTACGTGTATACATATATATATATATGTATTATATATGTGGAGAATTTGAAAGAAAGGGTCGTGCTGAAATGGGGTATGAACAAACAGACACATACATTGTCAGAGTGAGGGGGCGGAACGGTCATTAACTGTCCCTGAGTGCGTGGCTGAAGTGGGACTCGACGATGCGGATTGCTATTGTTGTTGTTTGTTGTTTGTTGTTTGTTGTTGTTGTTGAACATTATTTATTCTAAAGAATAATTATTGTTGGGCCCCCTGGTGCGCGCCCCCCCTGCGCCGCCTAGGCCGCAGCTACATTTTCATAATTTTCGTGAGGAAGCCCCAGAAAAGAGGGTGTGTACAGGATCCGGTTGTTTTGTTGTAATCCGCTTTCCCTTGCAAAAAAACAATAGAAAATGACATTTTTTGTTCTAATACAATCAAATTTCAAGAATCCCTTGCAAAAAATAAGGTAAAGTGGACATTCGCGCGCGCAAGACGAAATCCTTCCAAAACCTTAGTGTTCGCAGCGATTTTAACATAAAAACATCAAAAAACCAATGGTTTTTCAACAAAAAATTGTCAAAATCTCATCCCGCGCGCTCTTGCGGATTCGTAGGAAACCCAACACTTTTTAAACATTTCTGTCAAACGGGCTTTTGCGAGCAACTTTTTCGAACTTCTGCAACAACGGTTGCGCACCTGCCAGGGCCATCATCCCTGTCAAATAATACCATGCGGGACACATTCGTTTTTTCTTCGCGCGCGCACGCCGTCGTCGTCGGCCGCGGGGCCCTGAATAGTAGCCACGGTCGTCCGCATGCCACGAAGTGAAGTGTCCGAACGTCATAGGGCGGGAAGCTGGGTGTGGGTGGTGGCGAAGAGTCGTTTGGAAATTTGGTAGAG